TCTTTGCTCAAGCTCAACTTAGAATGTAGCCATGAGAAACATTGAGGGATGTAAAAAAGTAAGACATTACAGATTCTTATTGCTTTAGGGATCAACGTGTAATCTTGCCCTTTATTTTACCCGGACCAGTCAACAAGGCCAAACACGCTTAGGACAAACCTAAAACCCAACCTCAACATCACAGACACATACACAGGCTTTCAGGCTTCCTTTCATGCATACACACAAACGCGTGCGAGCACAGTCCCTGATCAGGAATGCTTTCTTTTAATGGATAAGATTCTAAGCCTGAGGTTGGTACACGGCTTGGTGTACTCGTGTGAAGGAAAAACTATAATTTCCTGGATAAGACATTTTGTGTGATCAGTATATATATTTAAAATGTAAAGCAATATTTAGCTTGCTAAAATAGAATATGAAGAAGGATGCAGAGAAAGGCCATCCACAGCGTTCAGGATGATCTGAAGTCGAGGCAAACATCCTTCTGATCATGATGGGTAAGTTAGGAATCATCAAATTGCTGCATAATCTAGCGACAACCTCCAACAGATGCTTTTGTCTGAGCGGTACACTGAATGCATCCCAACAAAAATATCTTGTCCTTCCTTGAGTTCACGCCTGCCCACGCTAATGTGATGTGGAGGCCATCTTTACAGCTTTCAACTCAAGCAGGGTCTGGGTCCTCCAATACCTTTACACATGTTGAGCATTCAACAGACAGTCACAACAGACGTTTCAATTACAAAGTGGTGCTGGCTATGCATAGGTACAGTGCAGAGCTTAACCCTTCTGTATCAAGTAGATCTCTTCCCCCAATACCTTTCCATTCAGCCTCTCGCTTACAGTAATGAGAAATGGCAGATATACTGTGTACTGGGCTATATGTCCAGTTAGCCTCCATGCTCCACGTTTCTACTTGGTCCAAGTATAAAGACGTGTGAACCAGACACATTCAGGGTAACATGGAAACACACAAAGGTCACTGCTATACAGGACTTCCGGTCTCATCTGGGAGGTTAGAAAGAGATTGCTCACTCTTCAAAGCACACATGATTTTCTTTTACAGAGAGAGTTAGAGAGAGAGCTGTATATGGTTCATAAAAGAGGGGTCAGAGCATTTGGCGTACAGGAGTTGTGCAAGCTAATAACAAATCGATGAATAAGCCACAATTTTGACCGTGGCGTGAAATAAAATGGAGATTTATCTCATAAACCACTGGTGCTCTATTATTGGCTGTATTTGATGGTACTAAATATATGATCTCTAACACACCTGTCGCTCTCTTTCTGAGATAACCATTCCACATGACTTGTCCTTTACAAGAAGAACAAGACAAAATGAAGAAAAAAAAAGGACCCTCTCTAATATATGTCTAAGCACATTGTCAGTACTTTAAAAAATATATAATCAGCAAGTCTAAACAGTTTGATAAATGTAATCTCCCAATATTAACACTTGAATATTTGTTTAACAGGCACAATAGTGTTACCCTGGATAGGAATGTAAGAAGAAAAATAACAACAAAGAAAAGGATCCCTTATGCCATAGCAATGGAGTACAACACTGCTGTAGCAACAGGGGCACATCACAATATCATTCATTATGATATAAAGAGGCTAATATGGATACTTTAACTGAAATCAGAATCATCTTTAAAATCAACTACCTGCAAGTCATAAAAAAATTTAACAAAAAGAATCCCCTATCGCTTTATACAGAATCAGTAGTATTGAGAGCAACCCTGACACATTCCCATAGAGAATGCAGACTGCCAGTCCAGCACAGTAGTTAGTAAGGCCTCGATTGTTTGTGTTGGCAAAAAAATTGAGAAAAAAAGTAACAAAAAACATATACATCTGTATTTAATTACACCTTTCTATAACTCAAAAACCTTAATATGTGCAAAAATGTAAATCTTACAAATGCGGAATAGGTTGATGATAACTCAAAGTATTATAGGAATGTCATCGTCCCCCTCCTCTTTGTACTCAGCGACAGACCGATAGGTGACTGATGTTCCAGGCTGATTGGGTCAGACTTCACGTTGAATGAACCATCTTCTTTAATTTCTCTATCTCCATCTGAAAGACACACACATCATTTTAACTAATTTCTCATGAGAAACCAGCACCGGATGCAATTCTGATGATAACATCATAGCTAACAGCCTCACAGGGAGATACATTTGGGTATCAGATCATGAATGAAATGAAAGTCTTATTTCCACTTGCGGTCCAACTTAACCCATCTATACCATAGCATTTACAATATTAGTACAAAACACTGCAATTTCATGCTCAATGTCACTTGAATACTAATAGGCAGGTTGACTGACAACGGCAGAAATTAGCCATCATATGAAAATCTGTTGCATTCATCAGAGAAAAGCTCTCAGACATAAATGGAATACAAAGATAAGAGAGAAAGAGAGAGAAAGAAAGAGACAGAGACAGACAAATGGAAAGGGAAGGAAGGAGAACAGGGAACATGATGGGAAAAACAGAGGATAAAACAATGTTAAAAAATATATAGAAAAAAAGTGTATTGTGTTATAGATTATTGCCACAGTTCATTCTTAAATTAGATCTCTGCAGTGCTTTTGTACATTGACATGTGAGTACAGCAACTGGGGATTGAGGTGGGGAGAGCAAAGATTATCTTTAGCGGGGTGGATGTGTGAATGCCTGGGGCCCAGGAGGGGGTCTACACAGGCCTACCTCCCCTCACTGTTCCTGGGGAGAAGGATGGACAAGGTTGGGGTATACTGGGTCCGACTCCGTGAGTAGCGCTTAGGGCTGTTGCGTTGACCGTATTACCGTCAAACCGGCGGTCATGAGTCATGACCGTTTAGTCACGGTAACTAGGCTTCTCCAAGCTCTGATGCTGCTGATGGTCATTAGTAGCCTACCAAACTTGCTAACTGCCTGGTACTCAGCACTCTATTGTCAATCTAATCACTGACAATGTAAATCTAATTGAAAATTAAATAAAACAATTCATGACAGCCCATGAGCTCATGTTACGCAACATTTCTATAGGCTATGCAATTGTGTGAGAAAACAGAGTTTTGATGGCCTCTATTAAAAAGAGGAGGATCCCATCAGCTTTCTATAGGCTAGGCTTACTATATTTATTTCTCAACTTTCCTAATATTAAGCACATTGCTTCGCTTTAGAACAGGAGTATAGCCTACCTGGCTGGCATGAAAATGAACCACGGAAAAAGCTCCTCAATTTGCTATTTAAGTGCATAGATTACATTTATTTTTCCCCCCTGCCCCCACCTGTTCTGAGACAGGTGCATGATAATGGTTCATTCTAAATCAAAACTAATTTCACACATATATTATTTAGTATATGTAAAGGCAAGATTAAATGAAGAATAGTCTGGTGGGGGACAATATTAGCCTATCACTTGTGAATGATATATTACCACTTGAATGATGTCCAGCTTGTGTGTAGTAAGACAAGAAACAGCGAATATCTTTTTTAAATCATAGTCGTAAAATCATATAGCCTAGCCCATAGACTATGTTTGGAGAAGGTTTGAGCCACTAAAGTGGTCAAATAACTTCTTAAAATTAAGCAGATTCATCTGATTTACAACTGGTGTAGAGCCTAACTGTTTGGGGAAGATCATTTTCACCATAAAAATGCACCTTTATAATAAATAATGACATGCATAATCGCATTTGCGGTCACTTTTGAGAATGGTGTTTTCCCACTAATTGCATTTTGGAACAGCCTGCTTATAGCCTACTGCCGTGTGCGCACTGCTGCGTTTATAATGTGAAGAAATAGCCTAATAGTTTACCAACATTTTAAGCTAAACGTTCTGATCTGTTGGAGCAGCTTCGTTGCTTTAAAAATATAAAGATATGCAAGTGTTAATTTGGGATCTATCGCATCCCACAACTGTCCCAGACTATTTTGGGAATATTTATTTCTCGCACAGGACAAGCTGACCAATAGAATAGGTCAACTTGTGTACTATGGGGGATAGTACATTGACACAGGCTAATGCTTTTTCTGTTCGTTAGGCCTACTCACTCATCTTGTTGGCTGATAAAAAATAAATGTAGACAGTTCTTCTAACATCTTTAACATGCGCCTCGGAATTCGATAAGAAGGACGCATGCAGTTGTAGCCTACTTAAGAGCGGTGATGCCTGTGAGAAGAACCCGATCACGTGAGGGGCATTGGCTAATAAGAATTGAGATTTCTGAGAGAGCCATGTGAGTGAGAGGCACTTCGGAGCATGGCGATTGGCAGCCGGGAGAAGGGAATTATAATTATTATATTTAGCCCAAGGTCACAATGGCCACTGGCCGCAAAAGGCATGGATTTTTTTAGTGTGCATTTTTTCGAGGCATTATCAAGTGCTTGTCAAATTGTGAATGAGAGACTGATGAAGTGTGTGCAGCCTGTGCAAGAAACAAATCAGAGCTCATGCCTTTCATGCAACTTTTTTCAAATCATCATTAGAGTCCCATCATGCAACATCTAAACATATAGCCCAATGTTTGTATCACAACTAAAGTTGCATAAATAACTCCAAATTAAGGATATAGGAGGACCTGTTTCTTTGTTAACCGCTCAACACAGAGTAGCCGCATGTGCGCACTCCCTCAGAAATCGTTTGGAGAAAATAGAATTTATATTTTATTCAGTTATGTTAAATTGTATTCTTCATACTATAAAATAATATAAAATAACAAGGAATTCTAAGCAAATGTTGTCTACTAAATGAATGAGTGTAGTCCACAGCTGTATGGCATAGCCAGACCAGGGCCTAACATAAGGACAACTCAGAGTATGCTATTCTGTCCTAGTAGTGCTGAGTAGGGACATAAAGCATTTCACAGCTTGTGTCCAATACTAATGTGCGCATGAACCTCTCACTCTTTCCAGTCCATCTCGCACCCTCTGACTGGACCTGTCAAGCTTACACGCTCTGACAAGCTGCGATGTAAAGACGGATACCGTCATCAATTTACCTGCAGGGCCACTCGTTTCAACCTCTCCTCGTCCAGCTCGCTCCTCAGCTCTGTCATCTCTCTCCTGCAAAGCAAAGCCCAGATGTTCACAAGGCTCCTCAGTGCTTGAACACATGACTGGCTAGCATCTGATCAACAATAAGATCACATCACCATTACTCTGCCTGAACAGGCGCCACTCAAGTTCCAACAGTGACTCGCCTATATACCTGCCTAGAAACAAGCCGTAGGGCACTAAAAACAGGACAGTAGCTAAAATACTGCTCTGAAAAAGGTACACAAATAAAAATGTTTGACTGATGCATGTAGCCAGCTTTATAATGATGAAGCTTTATCATTTAAACATGTTAACAAAGACATAATGCTTCATTTGAAGAGTACAGAGTAAAGAGTAGTAGGAACTGAACAAAACCAGATCTAAGGAAAGTGGTAGTTAGTTACATTTGCTGGGTCTTGAGGAGCTCCACAGACAGCAGCAGATCTTTCATTTGGGCTCTGAGGTCCTGCAGCTCAGACTTCTGCTCCTCTGACTCTGCCTTGGGCTTGGTCTCCGTGCTAGGGCCTGGGCTGCGGCTTCGGCTGGAGCTAGGGCTGGGGCTTCTGCGGTCAGGGGCCAAAGCCGGGCTGGCTTTGAGCCCCTCCGACAGGGATGGGCTGGGCTTGAGGACAGGAGACTGGGAGAGTGAGCTGGGCATGGATGGCTGTGGAAGAAGACGAGAGGTGGTTAATAAATATTTTTGTCCTGGCTGTGACCTCCTTTCTGAATATTTTTGACTAATGAATGAAGTCAGTGTTTCTATGCTCAAATTTAATCAAGTAAATTTTTCTGGTCGTAACATACAGTAGTCTTTAGCGACCAGCCATGATTGCTATGAGGGAGCTACAGTAGCCACTTGAAACACTGTTGTAGAGCATTCAGTTCGTACTGTAGCTGCGGAAGTCTATTTCATTTGGATTGAACACAACTGATCCCCTGTTTCTTCCTCTGAAGTTATGTCAGGGTTGCTTTAATATTGTGTTCTCCAGCATCCCATCGCCTCGGGATATAGTTTTCATTCATTTATTTATTTTCCTCTGCCGAGAGGTTCAGAGGGTCAAAATCTAATTTAAAAGGATTTAAATGTCAGAGGGGCCAAAGGGTCTCTTTAATTCAACCTATAGAAGTTCTGAGCCCACAGTTATGTGGCTTGATGCGCAGGGATTATTCACTCGATTTGAGTGGTACAGGTAAACAGCGGGTGACCCCAGAATCTAGTGGGTCCTTTGAGAGGGCCTCCAGTGTCGCTGGCCTGCCCACACAGAGTCAGCGTGAGGTGTAAGTCCCTTTAGTCCCATCAGTCCCCCACTGGGCATCTGAGGAAACACTAACAAGACAAACACGAGGACGGACATTACGTTTTCATTAGAAACATGAGGATGCCCTCCGTCTGGCCTCCGCAGGATGACTAGCACCGTCTCCCAGTGTGACTAAAACCGGCCTTACACTGGGCCTGAGTGGATTTGCCGGATTGCAAGAGAGCATTATTTTGTGAATGCATGTGAATATCTGCGTTAGTGCGTGTGACTGCATGTAAATTATTAACTGGACGTATGTGTGCGTACATCGTATGTGACCCCAGGGAGCTTAATGCCAGAGGCTTGTGACTGTGCTGTACTGGAGCCGGTGGGATCAGGGTTCATCAAGATAAGAGGGCATTCATACAGCAACAGGGTGACTTTCATACAGAGGGAGGGAGGGGAGGGGAGGGAGGGAGGGGAGAGACGGCGAAGGGGGATGACAGGAGGAAAACAACCTGGCAGGAGGATGGCGCCTATTAGTGAGGCATTATCCAGAGTCACTGAGAGAGGTCTCTATGACTTAACTGAAGATCACAAGATGGTTGCAGTTTTCCGAGGATGTATTAGTTAATATCTATAGACAAACCTGACTCCGTTTCTGAACTGAGACATATGTTAATTCCCTGCTGAGTGCAAATATTGGCTGAGGTGACTAATTTGCAGCAATAGCATCCATTTGGGATGAATCACAAGTATCTGAACAGAGATAGATCTAATGTGCATTTGGGCCATTGATTCAGACTCAGAAAACTTTATTGCCATACATATAAAATTGTTGTTCTGGGATGGGTCTTGGTGTACCACACATACAAGTTCAATACAGGTCAGACACTAACTAATGCAATTAGACACGTCAATGTCATTGTTACCTTTCTTGTGTCTATCAACTTTGGCTTGGGGCGATCCTCCTCGTCAAACTTGAAGGTTTTCTCCACGCTGATGTCCTTGTTTGGCTGCGAAGACAAAAATACAAAACAGGTCTGCTCAGTTTTTGACACACCTTGCCAGAGACTCACAGACACTCTGGCTTGACATGTCCATCTGTTTCTAATGGAAGGCATTCACATTACTCTTCAGGGAACTCAGTAAATCTCAGATAATCGGACCGACCCGACAGCTCTCCTCTCAGCCCTTCATGTAACTCAAATGTCTGCTATTTGATGTATTTTCAAGTGGACGTGTAGCACCCTCTTCCCAATCTCTCATCAACTCCCCCGACACATCATGAGGTGCAGATAAGGTGCGATATCTATGTATGGAATGCGGTGATGTACACTACCGTTCAAAAGTTTGGGGTCACTTCGAAATTTCCTTGTTTTTTCGAAAGAAAAGCAATTTTTTTTGCGTTGTATGAGATCTTCAGTTTCTTGGCAATTTCTCGCATGGAATAGCCTTAATTTCTCAGAACAAGAATAGACGGACGAGTTTCAGAAGAATGTTCTTTGTGTCTGGCCATTTTGAGCCTGTAATTGAACCCACAATTGCTGACGCTCCAGATACTCAACTAGTCTCAAGGCCAGTTTTATTGCTTCTTTAATCAGTTTTCAGCTGTACTAACGTAATTGCAAAAGGGTTTTCTAATGATCAATTAGCCTTTTAAAATGATAAACTTGAATTAGCAAACACAACATGCCATTGGAACACAGGACTGATGGTTGCTGATAATGGGCCTCTGTAGATATTCCATTTTAAAAAATCAGCCGTTTCCAGCTACAATAGCCATTTTCAACATTATCAATGTCTACACTGTATTTCTGATCAATTTGATGTTATTTTAAATGGACAAGAAAATTGCTTTTCTTTCAAAAACAAGGACATTTCTAAGTGACCCCAAACTTTTTAATGGTAGTGTACATGTACTCCCCAGATAGGGCCTGCATGTCAAATGTGTTTTTGAGAGGAATTTGATGATGTGTAAACGTAACATATGTGGTTTTTGTGTTGTGCAGTTGTATGTCCTCAGTAGCGTGTTGGTACGTCTGTGGACTCACAGAGTGGCCTCCTCCAAACTGAGCGGGCAGCCTCCTGCCAGGCATCTTTGGTCTGTTAGTGGTGGGGTGAGACAGCTTATCAGAGGTAGACGACAGATCATCAAAGCTCATCAGGTCTTTAGAGACAGACAGAGACAGAGAGACAGAGGGAGAGAAGTAAAGAGCAAAGTAAATAATAGCACTTTGCTTTACAAATGCAGACAGCAGAAAGATCATAGGCTTTTCATCAGATGGAACTGAGAATTGGATAGAAATAAGACATTGCAGCCAAAACCACTGAACAATAGTTGACATTCTATCACCTTGTGTTTTCCTTTCTATGAGAAATAGAATGACACACAGGTTTTTCATCTAAAGAGACAGTTCTGGGAAGACTAACTAAGGAATGGGGCTGTAAGGGTTAGGTCACACAAAACCATTCAAACAATCACATTTCATTGTTAAGATAGCCCTGAGAATAGTATACACTGAAACTGCCACACAGTATGACAATCTTTGAGAAAAACATTTAAGCACTATATAGTCCTATGGGTAAACCTTTATTTTAAAGGGTACCTAATAAACCATTTATAAGGCATTTATAAAATTGTGTGATCAACATTTATTAATCATTACTCCCACACTTATAAACCATTTACTAATCATTAGTAAAGTATTTTTGCAGTCCCTAATCTAAAGTGAGCACTGTTTATACTATATAAATACTTAATGTTTTGAGTGACCTGTAATTTCTCACAAAAATGGGCATGCCATTGGTAGACATTGCAGCAATACCCGGTAAAAGAACAAGCAGAATGTTTAAGGAAATATATACAAATGTAAGAATAACTAGCTTAGTAACACTTACAAATGTGGGAGTAATGATTCATAAAATGGCAAACATATAAAATCGTTTTTTAAGTACCCTTAAAATAAAGTGTTACCGTCCTATATAAAGACTATAGGCAGGACCTTTATTAACATTGCAGAACTCCCAGGGGAGTGAAGTTGACATAAAGGAGAATGAGGAGGAGTGTGTTTCCGTGTTTGTCTTCACGCCCTGCTCCCACGGGGCTAATGACCTATGGTTTTAGCAGCTCTTTTCACGCTTTTAGCGGTGTGGGTCACAGACACGACTCCCCAGTTAACTTCTACCTCCATGATGTCATGATTCTGAGAACTCACCCAGCCTAAACTCCCTTGTCCTCCCTCACCTCGATCTCCATCCCTTTATCTCTTCCTAAAAGCTTTGCTCTTGTTTTTCCTGTTTGTGATTGTCCTTGGCATTAAACAAGAGGTGATGTAAACAAAGCCAACCTCCCTCCCTCTTTCTCATCCTCTTCTATCCCTCCACCCATCATCCTCTATCCCTGCATTCTTCTGACCTCAGGACACCAGCTGAAAACCTATTCACCCATGGGCTTAGAGGATTAAATCAACATAGCGACAAAAACTCTAAAAATAAAAACAAAGTATTTTAGTAATTTGGGATTTTACGCACAAAGCTGTCAATATATCTTATCGCATTTGATAATGTGTTATAGTAGGCCTGAATTGGTTCAGAGGGTAAATCGTGATGCTGAAATTAAACCAGTCGACTTTGAACGCGTTTCAGAGTTTACAGATGTCTCCTTTTGCATCTGTGATGCAGTACCATTGTGAATCTACTGGTATGCTTCAAAAGGCAAACCAATCACGTGAAATATGCATAATGTTTTTAAATGTTGGAAGGTCAAATTGTCAATGTCCCTGAATCACCCTTAAAAGAAAAGAAAACAAGGCAACAGTAAACATGTTGTCACCCTCGAATGATGAAAACCAAATGATTAAAAAGGGGTTTCAGCTCATCCCCCTCTTTTTAGGTCTGTGTTTCCTGTTCTTGGGGACATTACTCCAACAGCCTGCTGCGGCAGGAGGAGTAATCCACAACTCAAATATGGATCTACTGCACTAATCCTCAATTTAGATAGAACCCCATCAGCTAGTTGTTTTGAACAGAATGAGCCTATGTGTGTCTATTGTGTGAGCCTGTGTGCCTATTGTGACAAGCTTTCAAATGATGCCCACCTGACCCAGATTACTATTTAAAATGGACTGTTCTTGGATTGCGTAAACAACAACAGTAATTGTGTGATGGCGGAGATGCAGGCTTGTGTTCCAAACAAAACTACAAGTCTGCTTGCTGTATTCCTCAACGGCACAGCTAGGAGAGCTCAAAAAAGCACCTTATGACCATTTTCATATTTATTCTGTAAGAAACATTTAAATGTAGCCCTATCCATATAGGCCAAATCCCACGAGTGTAAAGGGTTGAGGAACTTTTTTTTACCCCATCTATATGGACTAACTGGTTTTTACACATAAAGAAACATTCAACCTATGAAGCTGGGAGAGTATAATGGTTTTATAGATTCAATTTGATCCTGTGTTTGGAGCAAGCGGATCATAACTAATAATGATGTCATGGAGCCGTATAATTGTGCAAGTGAAGTGTATATATTCGGACCCCCAATGAACGTTTCATTGCATGCCTTGTTAAAGGTTTTACTGCTCAGAATTTCCTGAAACTAAAAAGTTAATTTTCGTGGAGCCATACATACCCATGTCAAGGTCATTCGACAGCGTTTTTGGTTTGCTGGGTAACGTTGTCTCAAAGTCTGACTTTGGGAGTATGGAAGGCACCTCTCCATTGTGCCTGTAGATGAGGGGGATAACAACAATAACAGTAGCAATACACTACTACAGTTGTAAACAGTAGTACTAGTAATACAATCCCGATGGCTGGAGTTAAGGGTACAATATGTTAGGAATGCAACTGGATTTCATAGGCCTTTGTGTACACATTCAGAGACTTAAATAGCAAAATAGCAAATATATTTTCAGCGTGAATGCAATCATTCAGAAGCCATAACAAATGCCTGACAAACAAACTAAATACAGTGGTTTGTTAATATATTTGTAGTAAAATACACAGATTTGAAGCTGTTCCTCCTCAAGCGCATCTATGCTATCACAGCAGACCTACTGTCCATCTACATCATATACGTTAGACTAGTTCTGGAGTACACTGTCCCTGCCTGGCACCCTGGCCTCACTCAAACCCTTATTGCTCAACTAGAGCTGGTCCAGAAGAGAGCCTACAGAATAATTCTGGGCGGGTCGTACACCAGCTATGGGGAAGCCCACGAAACCTTAGGAATCATGTCCATAGAGAACTGATGGAAGCAGATCTGCCTGACATTTGCTAATTCCTGGCAGAGCTCCCAGTTTGCAGACTGGCTCCCCCGACCCAGACAGCAGGTCACTGGATGTAACCCATAACAGCCACAAACTGAACAACGCACACACACCATATAGCCCAGAGGCCTAAGAAATGCCTACATAAAAACTGTTGTATTTTCTAAAGCTGCCACCCCAAACCTTGTTATTATGGTATTGTTGCTTTGTATACATTGTATATTTTAAATGGTATCATATTACAAGTTTGTGCAAATTTAGGATTTTACTATTGGATTACTATGACTGTAAATTGGTGTACCATTTAGTCTATGACCTCGAATTTGCCAATAAAACCTACTCTACGCAATGTTGTCCTTATTCAAGTGAATACCCAATATGAACAGAGGGAGGGGTGGAAGAACAGGGGGACGGGCAGAAGGATGGGAGACTTACTTGGCCCCTAGGGAGGGAGCGAGAGGCTTGTCTGGTCGTTTTGGGGGGAGGATGCCTGGTCTGCCCTTGCCTGGCGGAGGTACAGGTTTCTTGGGAGGGACCAGGGGGGCAGTAGGCTTTGACAGTTTGTGATCTGTCTTGTCACCTTCAGAGCGAGAGAGAATTTGAGTCAGAATTATCATTGTGATCAAATATTTCTTAACACTATGCTTTATACATTTCAAGATCATGGAGGTTGCACGAGGTCCTGGTTGTTTTAGGGGCATTCATTCTTCATTCTCGGCTGCCAGGACGTGTAAGCATCAACTATCCCCAGGGCTACTCCACTGAAAAATTAAAATAGCCAACCCCTAATCTCATTAGGGAAATTCTTCATTCCTGACAGAGAAATAAACGATCAACGCTGTGACAAATTATTAATATGCATAGAGGCCAATAAGATACGCAAAGCAGGAATAAGTGTAATTCTTTGATTTGAAAAAGGTAAAACAGCAAGGTGTTTCCTTTAGCTAACTGAGCCCTACAGAGGAGGGGAGTGTCACGGTGTCCCTGAGGTCATCCTTTGAAAGGGGTTAACGCCACGGCGAAGGAAAGCTTTTCAGCCACCCTGAGGACCGCCAGTGACATCACTTCTGTACCGTACAGTGAATGTGTGTAAGTGCAACACTTCACGTTAATGCCAAGGCGCCTTGGTGCATGAAATGGTCAAATGTGCAAGAAGCCCAGAGGTGAGCCAAAAACAGACACATGCTAAAAAGGGCCTGTCACAATGGATTGCCTGGAAGAAACAACATGCAGTAGCCGTCCGCTCACTGTCACATTGTTGCTCCATTTACCCTGATGATGTCATAATGCTACATGCAAATGGTACATGACTCTCAACATCCGTTAAATCTTCCAATATCAGACTAAAACCTTGGAGCTACAATAGATATAAAAGCAAAGTGAACTTTGAGGATGAAACCAAAATAAAACTTCCACGCATTAAACTCATTAAAAAGCAAAACATTTAGGCTAAATGTATATTTCTGTTAATTACCAGACACTTTTATTCAGATTTACTAAGAAAATATATTTAAAAAAAGATGCAAATCTGAAAATGATATTCAAAACCTAGCCCAAAGTACAGGACATTTAAATTAGAAGTTAATTGTTAAATATATACTAAACAAAAATAAATGCAACATGCAACAATTTCAAAGATTTTACTGAGTTACAGTTCATATAAGGAAATCAATCAATTGAAATAAATTCATTATGCCCTAATCTATGGATTTCACATGACTGGGAATACAGAAATGCATCTGTTGGTCACAGATACTGTAGGGGCGCGGAACTGAAAACCAGGCAGTATCTGGTGTGAACACCATTTGCTTCCTGCAGCGCGACACATCTCCATCACAGAGTTGATCAGGCTGTTGATTGTGGCCTGTGGAATGTTGTCCCACTGCTCTTCAATGGCTGTGCGAAGTTGCTGGATATTGGCGGGAACTGGAACACGCTGTCGTACACGTCGATCCAGAGCATCCCAAAGCTGCTCAATGGGTGACATGTCTGGTGAGTGTACAGGCCATGGAACAACTGGGACATTTTCAGCTTCCAGGAATTGTGTACAGATCCTTGCAACATTGGGCCGTGCATTATCATGCTGAAACATGAGGTGATGGTGGCAGATGAATGGCACAACAATGGGCCTCAGTATTTCGTCACGGTATCTCTGTGCATTCAAATTGCCATTATTAAAATGCAATTGTGTTCGTTGTCCGTAGCTTATGCCTGCCAATACCTTAACCCCACCGCCACCATGGGGCACTCTGCTGTTGTGTGACAAAACTGCACATTTTAGAGTGGCCTTTTTATTGTCCCCAGCACAAGGTGCACGTGTGTAATGATCATGCTGTTTAATCAGTTTCTTGATATGCCACACCTGTCAGGTGGATGGATTATCTTGGCAAAGAAGAAATGCTCACTAAGAGGGACGTAAACAAATTTGTGCACAAAGTTTGAGAGAAATTAACTTTTTGCACATGGAACATTTTTGGGATATTTTATTTCAGCTCATGAAACACGGGACCAAAACGTTACATGTTGCGTTTATATTTTTGTTCATTGTAAATTAGGCCTATGGTTTTCCGGACTCACCTAATCTGCTGAAGGCACGGCGGTCCAACATTATCAAGCCTGTCTGGAGATTGAGAGACATCAGCAAACAAAAGCTGATAGTTCTAGAGTAAATTAATTGATAGCACCTTAACCCCCTGAGCTATGAAATGTTCCTATTGATGGGTACTTACACATTGCATGAGTGATTATAACATAAAGTACTCAAATACAAGTTACATAAAATAAAATTGTATTTGTCACATGCTTCGTAAACAACGGGTGTAGACTAACAGTGAAATGCTTACTTCCCAACTATGCAGAGAGAGAAAAATTGAAGAAAAAAAAGAAAAATATAACCACAAGGAATAAATACACAATAAGTAACGATAACTTGGCTATATACACGGGGTACCAGTACTGAGTCGATGTGCAGGGGTACGAGGTAATTGAGGTAGATATGTACATTATAGGTAGGGATAAAGTGACTAGGCAACAGGATAGATAATAAACAGGGTATGCGATGAGTCAAAAGAGCTGGAGTCAGAACATTTTTAGGGCCTTACTCTGACACCGGCTGGTATAGAGGTCCTGGATGGCAGGGAGCTCGGCCCCAGTGATGTACTGAGCGGTACACAAATAATAAAATAATAATAATAATATGCCATTTAGCAGACGCTTTTATCCAAAGCGACTTACAGTCATGTGTGCATACATTTTTAGGTATGCGTGGTCCCGGGGATCGAACACACTACCCTGGCGTTACAAGCGCCATGCTCTACCAATTGAGCTACAGAGGACCACGTGGGTACACACTACCCTCTGTAGCGCCTTGCGGTCGGATGCCAAGCAGATACCAAGCGGTGATGCAGCCAGTCAAGATGCTCTCAATGGTGAAGCTGTAGAACTTTTTGAGGATCGGAGGGCCCATGCAAAATCTTTTGGGCCTCTTGAGGGCTGTGTTGGTGTGTGTGGACCATGATAATTCCTTAGTGATGTTGACACCGAGGAACTTGAAGCTCTCGATCTGCTCGATCACAGCCCCGTCGATGTGGATTGGGGCATACTCTGTTTCCTGTAGTCCACGATCAGCTCCTTTGTCTTGCTCATGTTGAGGGAGAGGTTGTTGTTCTGGCACCACACTACCAGGTCTCTGACCTCCTCCCTGTAGGTTGTCTCATTGTCGTCAGTGATCAGGCCTACCACCGTCATGTTTTCGGCACACTTAATTATGGTGTTGGAGTCGTGCGCGGCCACGCAGTCGAAAGGTGAACAGGGAGTACAGGAGGGGACTAAACACACACCCGAGGGGCCCCCGTGTTGTGGATCAGCGTTGCAGATGTGTTGTTGCCTTACCTCACCACATGGGGGCGGCCCATCAGGAAGTCCAGGATCCAGTTGCAGAGGGAGGTTAATCCCAGGGTCCTTAGCTTAGTGATGAGCTTGGAGGGCACAATGGTGTTGAACGCTGAGTGGTAGTCAATGAACAGTATTCTCACGTAGGTGTTCCTTTTGTCCAGGTGGGAAAGGGCAGTGTGGAGTGCAATAGAGATTGCGTCATCTGTGGATCTGTTGGGGTGGTATGCGAACTGGAGTGGGTCCAGGGTATCTGGGATGATGGGGTTGATGTGAGCCATGAACAGCCTTTCAAAGCATTTAATGGTTACAGATGAGAATGCTACGGGGCGATAGTCATTTAGACAGGTTATTTGGGCGTTCTTGGGCACATGGACTATCGTGGTCGGCTTGAAACATAGGTATTACAGACTGGGTCAGGGAGAAGTTGAAAATGTCAGTGAAGACACTTGCCAGCTGGTCAGCGCATGCTCTGAGTACACGACCTGGTAATCCGTCTGGCCCTGTGGCCTTGTAATAATATAATAATAATATGCCATTTAGCAGACGCTTTTATCCAAAGCGACTTACAGTCATGCGTGCATACATTTTTGTGTATGGGTGGTCCCGGGGATCGAACCCACTACCTTGGCGTTATAAGCGCCGTGCTCTACCAGCTGAGCTACAGAGGACCACAGTGAATGTTGGGAATGTTAGGCCTTGTGAATGTTGGGAATGTTAGGCCTTGTGAATGTTTGAATGTTAGGCCTTGTGAATGTTAGGGCTGACTAGTCCTTGGGCATTGTCCTTTGTGCTTTCCTTGTGTTCCTGGGCCATTTGCCATGCAGCTCCAGGTGACAGAGAGCACATACAGTGGTGGTAAATAGACAGCTATGAAAAATATAGATAAAAACTCTCTTGGTAATGTAGTAGAAGAATGAGAGAAGGTGATACTAGCGCCTACTGACTGGCTGGTGCCTAGGCCCAGTGTGATGACTCAATCACGATTTATGGCATTGTTTAAGGACAGTGGTCAAACACACCTTATCTGTGGCAATCTCGATGAAGAGACATTCTCACGGAAGTCAAGGAGTCACTGACGCCAGGAGAGGTGTGATGACTGATGAAAACTTTAAATTGGCAAAATGAATGTTACTGTGTGAATTAAACTGCCATGTTTGGATTGTTTCAAGAGTTCATAAAGAGCTATGAATTTTGATATGTTTCATGGTACTGTAAGTGCTATGGATTTATTTACATTTACGTCATTTAGCAGACGCTCTTATCCAGAGCGACTTACAGTTAGTGAGTGCATACATTATTTTTATTTTTTTCATTCTGGCCCCCCGTGGGAAACGAACCCACAACCCTGGCGTTGCAAACGCCATGCTCTACCAACTGCGCTACATCCCTGCCGGCCATTCCCTCCCCTACCCTGGACGACGCTGGGACAATTGTGCGCCGCCCCATGGGTCTCCCGGTCACGGACAGAACCTGGATTTATTGTTACAGAGAAACTGTGTTATTTTGTTCATCGGACGGCGGATCATTCAAAGAGGAGCGATACAGGGGTGTGCTCTTACTGCATCAGACAGTGTTGAGGTGTGGTGATTAGATAAGGGAATTAATGTAAAGTTTTATGCCTTTTGTTTTAATGTTTTGGGCCATGCAAAGTGATGTTAATTAGACGATGGGGGATAGTGGGATT